TGACAAAAGCAATTTATGTCCTAAAGACACTTTATAATTAAAGACGGGGCCTCGCCTCCCTCCAACGCGCGACACAGTAGCTAAGCAAATAGACTGCATCGCTAATGAGATTTTTTGCATTATTATCATTTAATTCTTTATGTCCTTACCTGCTCGACCTTTCGTCATGTCGTTTATCACACAAGCAACTGTGACGCGCCTTGGAGGGAGGCGAGGCCACGCCCCATATATATATAAATATATTCGGTTTTATTCTGAACAGGCTGTATATTATATATATAAATTACCACTAAATAATAATATAATAATAATAAAATAATATATTATTGATTTTTCTAATATACAACCTCTAAATGATTTCAAAAAATGTTTGTATACTTACCACTTAGGTGTCATAGAATAAAAAAAAATTGTGGAAATAATAATATTTATGGAACACGTGTAGGTAGTACATTATATTGATATTTTGTTGAACCCCCTAAACACCCCCCTGAATCCGCCATTGCTCTGTATACATGTAACATAATATGTGTAATGTTAATTTAAGGTCCTGTGTTCAATGTGCATTGGTAAAGGGTCAAAAAACAGATCTGTAGAGCACTTACTTAAATGTAAAGTGTAAACGTCTCTTAAATGATTAACTGTTTAATATTTATTAGGGACGACAATCCCCCAAGTGATTGCCGTTAGCACGCCTATGAATTTAGCTATACTATTTTATAAATAGATGTTAATTGTTCCAAATGGACCGGATTAAATTAGCATTAATGCATGGGCCATTACAGGATCTATTTCGGACAAATCAGGATTGTACTTTGTTTGGTAGGCATTAATTAAATTCAATGTGTCAAGTTTAACTAACGTGCCTAACAAATCAGCAATTAACTCTTTTATTGGAACAGTGCCAATTACATTTAAAAATAGGTTACATTTAAAAATAGGTTAAGCATGTGGACATGAAATTATTGTTTACACCCCAAAAATATTTAACAAGGATTTTTAAAGTATTAGAAAAGTTTTTTACAAAATAACATTTATAAACCTTTTTTAGTACTATAATAGTAGGTGTATTAATTTTGCCAATTCCCTAGAATAAACAAATATTAGCGCGTGATAGCCTCGATAGTTGTTGGTCAATCGGCAATAAAACTTTCGAAGGCACGCCTTTTATGGACAAATTACCAATAGCATGCCAAATGACCAATTTTGTATACGTTCTGTTTGCGTGCATTTGTTGAGTTCTAGGGAATTGGTAAAATAAATAAACTATAGTATTCTCATGAGAAAATAAAGGGTTTTTCATTTAGAGCGTCAGAACTTTTAAATGAGATAAAAAAATAACTACATATTATAATCCCGTAATCTATATTTTATTTTGAAGAACGATCGATGACATTATGTTTTAAATATAATATCGTTTAAATGTCCCCCTCGACTTTGCCTGACTGAATGCATTCTGAAGGCCTAATTTTCTACTATTCTTTTACAAATATCGCGTGGTATACTTTGAATAGTGCGTTTAATGTTTCGTTTAAGGTCGAGAATTGTTCGTGGCTTATTTTTGTAAACCTGAGATTTCACATGATCCTTTAGATGCACAAAAGTTGACTTATTTGCAAGTAAACCAGTTTTTTCTTAAACGATAAACCTTATATTTCTCGCAACTTGCAAAATGTTTGGCAAACCGAACATGCATTTTGATGGTAAATACGAATTATTTCTAAGCGCTGTTAAATTGTTATCTGTCCATATTAATTTGACACAATATACTGAACACATGTGTTGTCAAGATTTGACATTTACATTCCAGAGCAGCCTTATTTTTAGGGTTAAAGTTATTACGCTTTAAATGGAAAACCCTTTATATAGTATTCTCATGAGAATATATTTTCAAAATTAGAAAATGTATGAAATACTAAAATCCTTGTTTTAAAATCATAATTTAATTTCGTTATATCGGGAGGGTCATAAATATGAGAGGTAGATATTGAACAAATAAAAAAAACTATAAATCTTTTAATTAAAAAAAATTATAATCAAGTAAAATTTCACGAAAATCATTTATCCCACCCAAACCATAGTTTCTAGAAAGAAATTTTTTGGCCAAAAGCCTTCTTTTTTAATTCCTAATAGACACATTTTAATTTGGATATAGTGAAAATTAATTACGCGTACCTTTGACAAAACAAAAGTCCCGACAAGTTATAGTTTAGGTGGTGCCCTAACTTACATAAGACAGTCGTCAAGCATGGACAAAGTTTAAAGCTGTGGAATTATTGTGTTTTTTTAATCTGCGCAAGAAGTCTGTTTTATTTTTTTTAATGTACCTATGTAGTATAAGTAGGTACCTAATTGATATGAATATAAAATAGCAATTTCATTTTGAAAAAAATTAAATTATTAAATTTAGATGAAAAATTGGCGGTGTTTAGCTGGGATTTTTTGTCGTAATTTAAATTCCGTGGTCATCTTAGAATACCACATAATTCAACTTTCTTGCTTAAAAAAACATTTTTTAGCTATGCTTAGTTTTAAGAATGAAAATTTAACCAATTAACTTATTGGGCAACTTTTGGAACACCCTGTATAAAATTCTTGTTAAAATTAACTTCCAGAAACGTAAAAAACCTATTTAACTATAAAAAAACCGTGCAAACAATCTATCCATAGTATAATTCCATGACTGCGAAAGTCTGTTCTACTTTGTTCCTCTTTCACGCCTTAACTGCTTAACCGATTTTAACGAAATTTGAAATGATAGTTTGATAATGATAATGATAGTTTGACACCCCGGGACGGGCATAAGCTACTTTTTTTACTTTAGCGAAAACTCATTAGGGTCAGCCATTTTAAGTAGGCCATATTGTTTTTAGAAATTTCGATGTTAAATGTTAATAAATGTTAACGAATTCAGCCGTTTCGTTTTTGTAAATTTTGATCTAAAATTTCTATTCCTTGGCCTTAAAAACCTAAAATTACAGATTTTCAAGAATTTTTGGTTCCAAATTGTCAGAACGTCATGGACATTTAGCTTACGACAAAAACATTCGGTCGGAACCCTTTGTTGAGCTGTTTATTGGATTATGATTGCCATATTTGGCAAAATGTTTAGCACAGAACTCGCTGAAAACTGGGATGGATTTGGAAGACGGTCAAATAATTTTTCGGTTTTGAATATTTTTTCGAAAACAAAGTTTAAGGGGCGCAGGGAAAAGGGGCGAATATAAAATATTTTATTTAATTTTTAATTAAAATATAAAAAAGCTCTACATTTTATTAGATGTACGAAATAAGAGGTAATTAAATTAAAATATTACTAAAAACGTATAAACTTATATGGCTAAAGGGTGTAAGGAAAATATAACATTAGCGTGTAAGAGGTTTAATTAAAATAATATCATTGCATATAACTACAATAAATATTTGTACTATAAAAATATTAATACTCAAACAGTAAAAAAACAGTTAAAATGCTTCCTTTTAGTTTATATTTTGGGAGTACCTACAAGAAGTTGGGGGCAAATTAATATTTCGTATTTTTATATAGGTATTAATGTATAAAATCTTAATGAAATATTTAAAATAAACAAAATATTCTGCTTTCGGATATTAAAATAGGTAATACTCAAAAAGTGTTCAAAAGTGATTTAAATTTGTAGAACCCAAATACGAATGTTTTCTCTTACGTTTCATATATATATGGGTGATTCTCCCGAAATGATCATTTTGTATGTAACCAATTTTTGTATACATATATACTATAATTCATTGGTATTTTCTTTTAGAATAAATAACTTTCAAGTATTTCGAAAACATCCTTCAAAATAGAATTAAAAATAAAACTGAAATAAGTTTTTTCTTACCATTTTTGATTAAGAAAAATCATTCCTCTGGATTGTAACCCTCAATATTCTCATGCTTATAGAAAATAAAATAGCTATTAACAATTTTAAAACATTTAAATAATGATTTATTTTACAAATTATTACATATTTATAACTCTCCCCCAAACAATTAAACAATAATATTGTATGGGTGCCCCATAATATAAATCGAAATTTCGTAACCGAGTTTGATAATCATTCCTCTGGACGATCTAAATGATTTATTATTAGTACATTAGGTGGCGCTAGGTGATTATGCCTTGTGGTACAGAGCCGTTCAGATAGCATACAATTTAAGCTGACTAATTGTTGGTGTGTAATTTTATTGTTTTTTACTATTTTCACAAAACTTCTGTGCTTCAAAGTAGTGTCACAAGCGAGTGAGGCATTCCTCTGGTAAGTGTTAGCTTTATATATGTTTAATTAAAGTCTTAATTTAATTATATCCTGTAAAACTAGCGGACCCCTACTCATAGACTATATTTGAGGTTAGAAAAAACAAAGCATCCTACATTTAGCATAACAAAACCGTCAAAATCGTCATTCCTCTGGTATCATTCCTCTGGACCCATAGTTCCAGAGAAATGCCGAATATGCCAGAGGAATGGTATTGGATTAATTTAATGTTTTTGATAATATTATCAAAAGAATAAGTGCAAATTAATCCAAAGTAATTATTCTGTTTTCTATTTATCTTATCTAGTTATTTCTATTTATCTTATCTAGTTAGTAAGAAAACACGTCTTGCAGAAATAATAACACGTTTACAACTAGTAGTTATGACTTGATAAGAAACCGTAATAAAATAATACAGTATATACTGTATTATTTTATTACGGTTTCTTATCAAGTCATAACTACTAGTTGTAAACGTGTAATTATTTCTGCAAGACGTGTTTTTTTACTAACTAGATAAGATAAATAGAAAACAGAATAATTACTTGTATATATATATATATATATATATATATACCGGGTGTCCCGATAAAAATAATATTCAATTTTTAAACCCTACTCGAAACCAATTTGTCAACGTTGTATATTGTGGGTGCGCTATTTTCCGGATACCTTGTATAATTTGTTTACAATGAAAATAAATTGTTTAGATTATCAACCATGCCCCAGTCGAGGGAAGAAAAACTCCGGAAAAAAAGGGAAGCTGAAAAAAAAAGATACGAAAGGCTTAAGCAGGATCCTGAAGGGAGAGAAAAGTTGAGGCAAAAAGAGCGTGATCAGTATTCCAAAAAAAAGGAGAATAATATAGTTCAACCCATCAGTAAGCTAAGCAAAAGAGACCAACGTATGAAAAGAAAACAATGGCGCAAAAACTCTACAACTTATAGATTAAGAAAAAAGCAAACTGAAAATGAAAATCATTTTCTGGAAGAAAATACTCCACCACCTAGTCCCGTTCGTTTGGAAAACGTAAATGATGTTCCAAGAGATACACCACAAAGTATTTCAGGAAGACGTTTAGCAGCAAAAAATCGGAAAATAAGGAGCAGAAGGTCCAAGGAGAAAAATGAACTTATAGAAAAACTTAAAAAAAAAATCACAAAATACAAAGTAAAATATCACAGACTAAGGAATCTGACAAAAGAGAAGCGCACTAAGCGTGAAGTTCAACTTTCTCCGAAAACCAGAGTAAACGAAATGATGCGTGAGAATCAAAATCCAGATATTATCAAGAAACTTTTATTTGCTGAGGTCGTAAAGGATCAATTAAAGACAAATTACAAAGAATTGAAAAGCGATAATGAAAAGCAAATTTTTAGACAAGTACTATCGGGAAAAATAATTAAGAAGTACCAAATCACAAACGACTTACGAGAAATTGTGAGAGGTAGCAAATTGATTAAAACCTCAAAAAATATTGAGAAACGACATGCAGTGGAAAGATGCAAGAAAATTAATGCAATTTGGAAATTTTTAACATCAGACATTAATAGTAGAATGTGTCCGGGAAAAAAAGATTATTGTTCTAAAAATGGCAATATAAAGCAAAAACGATATCTTAACGACACTATGGTAAATTTGCATAACAAGTTTTTAAAACATCACCCTACTATGCCTATAAGCTATGCTTTTTGGTGTAAGAATCGTCCTTTTTATATTATTTCAAGGAAGGTTTCAGCGAGAGACACTTGCGGTTGCTCAATATGTTTAAATATGTCTCTGTTGATTCAGTCTCTCAATCGACTAAAGGTGATAAATGAACATGATCCAAATTCTGTGATGTCATCATTTTGTTGTGAAAATACTACAGAAAAATGCCTCCTTAGAGAATGCTTTTGCTGCAAATACAAAAAGGTTTTGTATAAAGATCAAGATTCCTCTATCAAGGGTCATTACTTTAAGTGGTGTTCGCAGAAAGAAACATATTTTGATAAAAAAACAAAAAAAGAAAAGAGCGTAAGTAAAATTACAAAACGAAAGTTTGAATGCCCTTTAGCAGAGATAATAGAAGAGTTTGAGAGCAATATCATAAAGTATCTGAAACACAGGGGCAGGGCTCGTCACCAATACAAAAGGATCACAAAAATGAAAGAGGAACTAAAGAGTAATGAGGCATTAATCCATATGGATTTTAGCGAAAATTATAATTTAAAGTATGCGGAAGAAGTTCAATCTTTCCATTTTGGAGGGTCCAGACAGCAGATATCACTCCATACTGTCGTTATGTATACAAAATCTGGTGAAGAACTGAAAAAAGAATGTTTCTGCACTTTATCCGAATCTCTTCAACATAACGTACCTGGAATATGGGCACACTTAGATCCTATTTTAAAATACATTGAAGAAAATTACCTTGTTGACACTTTGTATTTTGTTAGTGATAGCCCGGCGACGCAATACCGTAATAAAACGATGTTTTATTTTCTTGCTGTTGAACTCCCAAGTTTGTATACAAAAATTAAGAATTTTTCCTGGAACTACTTAGAGGCCGGTCACGGAAAAGGTGCTCCAGATGGCATTGGTGGGGTCACTAAAAGAACAGCGGATCGACTGGTAGCTCAAGGTAATGATATCGCATCTTTTGATACCTTAGTAAATGCACTTTCTAAAAATGTTAAGGGCATTAAGTACCTGACTATTGACTCTAGCGATATCGCCAAACTATCAGAACGGCTAGAGAACAAAGAATGTCCAAATTTCAAAGGAACTATGAAAGTCCATCAGGTAAAAAAAGACTTGTCTCAAAAATCCGCTGTACAGCTTAATTTTTATTCACTAAGTTCTTTGGGAGAAAATGACTCTGCGTTATATCTTGGTCCACTGATCTACAAGTCGACAAGTATATCACCTCTAGGTGAAGCTTCAAATACATCCTCATTCGATGAAGACATGCTTACTTACATCACAAAAATCTGTGACCCAAAAAGAAATTCCTCATATAAAGCTTAATTTTATTGACGTTTATTCAGATGATGAAGAAGCTGGTCCAAGTGTCAAAAACAAGGGGGAGCTGAGTTGCCAAAATATTAGAACTGGAACATATTTATTGGTTCAATTGAAAACAAAAAAAATTTGCTACAGATATGTTGCTGTTGCGCAGAATGATATAGAAGAAGACGGTGAGGTACGAGTTATGTATCTAAGAGTTTGCAAACTAAATAAGAAACAGGTCTTTAAAATAGATGAAAACGACATGTCCTATGTGAGATATGAAGATATTACATCCATATTGCCCTCACCAATTATAATTTCTCATAAATGCATACAGTATTATCAGTTTGAAAAAGATATTGATGTTTTTGAGCAAGGAACGGGCAAATTGTCAAAAAATGTTTAAGTTTTTAATATTACTTGTAATACAAAGAATATGTTTTTTTATAAATTAATAATACCAATACATAAATTATCTTTAACAAAAAGCTTGCGTCATTCCTCTGTCCCCATGATCATTCCTCTGGCAGTACTATTTGTTTTAAATGCGATAAATCTCTTAAAATTAAAAAATGTGTTTGATCACTGGGTACTTATATTATAATAACTTAAACTAAAGCCAGTCAGAGTATTATCCAGAAAAAATAAACAATTTTTGTTCTGAAAATTTTCTACTTGGCAAAATGATCATTTTGGGAGAATCACCCATATATATATATATATATATATATATATATATATATATATATATATATATGTCTTAATGGCAAGCTACATATATTTTATCCTTATTTTGCTCCTATAAATTTTTCTTACATATTTAAAACATAGCAACACTTTACTGCTTTCCATGCATGGTCACTTCTTTAAAAGTTGTTACCATGGTCACTTCTTTAAAAGTTGTTAATAAAATTTGTAGGGCTTTTAAATAGAAGGACTCCAGAAACGTTAAAAGTTAGTAGGCACTTTTAAATTTAAAAAAGATAACGTTTGTGATCTAGGCATACCTAAAACCCCTAAAACGATTTTGTGCTTATGCACCACTGGCGTAACTAAGGTCTACAATATACTGTCCATTCAGGCTAAGTTGAGCGGTCTAAGGAATGTCACCCCGTCCATCATCTCTATGTTCAGGCACATTTAAATACATGTATTTCGGTAGCCGCTCTGTACGAACAAACTGCAAGCCACGGCACTGATAAATCATCTTTTTATTACCGAAATCTCGCGAGGATTCAATATTTAATTTAATCAACGGCCACTTGATCCCCCACCAAAGCGCTCAACTTAGCCTGAACGGACTGTACTATAGATACATTAATGAGAATAAATTAATTTATTTTTGTAACGAAACAAAGTTAAAATATAATTATATTTTAAATTTGTTTCGTATATTAATAGTAGTAATATTATAATATTACTGTTTATAATCGTAGTTGTACCCCTGACAGATAGATGTTCACCAGGTATTAAAGCGATTCATTTTTAAACAAAGTTTTTTTTTATAAATTGAAAGCTATGAAAAAAACAAGTTAGACTTATTTGTTCGCTAACGAAGAACTTATAGTGGAAACTTTAATTAATTGATAAATTAATGAAAAGAGTGCGCTTAGTCTTTAGGTGAGTGTAATTGGTTTAACGGGGGATATTTTAAATCTGTATTTAGTTTGTGAATAATAAAACGATTCCAAGATAAACTTCACTCTATTTAAACCAGCCACCCAAACACCAAAAATAAACTCTGAGATAAGCTGCATCATCACAACATGGCGACCAACGAGGTGCTGGTTAGGACGACATAGTCCGCTTAGTGGCGACAGTAGTAAATTCGATGAGAAATGTTAATTTAAATAAAAGTCCTACTGTCAATGGTAATATTATAAGTGAAAATTTTTGCGCACTATCACCCGTTAAAGCCAGTAAATACTGTAACCGTCATTTTGACAGTTACCCATTGATTTTATTTTATTTTGTTTATTACCTTGTTTTGATAGTATGCAACCCAGAACAATCCTCATTTGTTTTAAGTTTTCTCAACATTGGCAACATTGTGTTTTTTTAAATAATCTTCTACACACTTAACAAGGTTTACGCTTTCTTTTCCGTTTGATCGCTGAAGCCGTTTGGTTGGGAGTAAGCTTTGGCTTAAATTTGGATAGAATTCAAAGATGTGTAGTAATTCTCCTGGTTTAATGGCTCAGGGCCGGATAAAGCATTAATTGTGTTGTACGAATACTCAGGTCAGCGATGTGTTTCATTCTGCAAAGTTTTGTTAAGTACATGTTTTAAGTACAGATTTTTAAGTACAAGTTTGCTGGTCTTGAATACGGACTTTTTATGTAAGACTTTTTATGTCAGATTTGTTGTGAGGGAATGGTTTTTTTGCCCTGAGGTTGTTTTGGATAATGGCAAGTTCTTACGTTACTGAAAAGCATTTTTATGTTAGAAATCATAGCATGCACTAGACTCCTTATACGTTTGTGTACTTTTGAGTTGAGAGTTCAACATGGTCTTCAACTTTTAAATTGCAGTTATTTTAAATATATTTTTTTTATCATCGATAATCAGTCACGTTCGAGTGCTCGTCAAAGTTAGTCGCATCTTGCATCTTGCCGTCGCGCCCTTGATACTTACAAACAGCAATGCTCGCAATGATTGCTTATAAAGTGCAATTAGTCTGTAGTGTGGCAACTAGTGTTTCTGTAGTCCACCCTAAGGTCAGGGAAGTGTTGAAGTTGAAGTGTAGAGTGACACCTTACGGGTGGTCCAAAAACTCTTAAAATGTAATTTAGATGAAACCAACAATAATTAAAAAAAAAGGGGTGTGAACTGATAAGTGAAACAAACATTTTCATGGAGTGCAAGCTAAAATGGTGTAACGGTCATTGAGGAGTGGAGTGTTGGGTGATATGAATGACTTGGGTGCCACCTGTCATTGGAGGCTTTTCACTGGACGGACGGGGGAGGTCGGAGAAGAGGTGAGGTGGCTATCCGCAAGGGGAAAAATCTGATAAGTTTTACTTTAAGAGTATGCATGACCTGATACAAATCTGCAATACAAATACGGCAGATCCCAGCAAGCATTCTCCGTTATTTGTCACCATTAACATTGCCCGTATTCATTTCATTAAACATAACATTTATTTTACTTGAAAATGTTAAAATAACTTTAAAATATGATTATGTTAAGAACATATTTTACTCTTTAAACAATTGTTTTGTTTTTAATTACTATCATTGCAAAATTGTATTAAAAAGTCTTACACGGGCAATGTTAATGGTGATAGGTATCGTTAAAGTATTTATTGGGATATCTTTAAAACCTATGAAGGGCACGCGGTGTGGGGCAATAAGTCTGTCAACAGCAAATGCGTAAGGCGGTCCCAATCGAGACCGAAAATAAACACTGGACTGACAGAGTAAACTAACATTGATCACATAATTCTAACACATTAAAAAAAAAGGGCCTAATAGCCAAACTCGAGATTTGTAAACATTAGACAACAGAATAATCGCGCTTGTGATTTGTTTGACTAGTGAATAAATGCAATGCTTTGGAATTTGATAAACAAAGACGGAACTCTACCACAAAACGTGCTTGGGACAAAAATTATTAAAAACAACTGACACACTTTACCAAGGGCAGGAACTATCTGACCAGGACACGGTCAATGACAATAACGAACAAGACAAAGACCTCGACTAGGAAACTACACCCCTGCAGCGAAATAACAACTCCCCAACTCCAAATAGTAATCCCAAATGTTTGGAGTAATACTAATCGACTGGTCTAGGGGGATTCCGCGTCGTACTTAGTTTTAAGTCGGCGTAATTGTCCCCCAAAAACCAACTCCCTCCCGTCCCTCATCCATACCCCACCGAGCGTATAGCATAGGCTCGGCGAACCCGGGAATGGCTATTATAACTATTCGCCTCTCGCTCTCGAGCCCCAAATAGGGGACAGTACGGAACGCAATGGACATTCGCACCCAGCAAACACGGTTGAAGCCGTGCAGTTGCTGGGGAAGAACAAAAATCGGCGTAAGTAAACATAGGCCTGTACGGGGTTCGAGAGTCAAGAGGAAATGGGGCTGGTTATACGTCTCTTATACTCATTTTTTTTATCATCGATAATATTTTATCTGTTAATTTAGTCTATTAGACTTTGGTTTTTGTAAACCATATATGGTATAAGGGTGCACCAAAATTATAAATCGAACAAATGTTTAATATTAAATGAAAAGTGATCACTCCAACATCGGTGAAACAAATATAACTTTGATTTATTTTTTTTAAACTTGACTTTTAATAACCGCCCTTAATCTTTAGTAAGATTGTGTCTGACTTACTTAGACTTTACCAACTGGTATCGAAAAACAACATTTGCCCATCGACCTATCTCTCCGCTGAAAAGCTGCCGTTCGCCATAGCCCTCGAGTTGAGGTTACAATACATACCTATTTTTTACAATAAAAATAGAGTTCTTAAAAATACATTAGAAAACTTTTTGGGTGTAAACCGACACCGTTTAATAAATTATCATTAATAATAAACAATCTTTTAAAAAAATCGGCTAAAACTTGGTGGGACGCTTATTCCAATTTATTTCAAAATTATATGCATTTTAAAAGAGAAATTTACACATTTTTGGGGTCCTGATAAACAGTTAGGAATAAAACATCAGTTAGAAGCTGGTAAATATGAGCTAGGGCTTTTCACAGATTATTTTAATAAATTTGTTGCCCTTGCAAAATATTTACAACCTCCCTAAACAGAGCAACAGCTTATAAATATTATCGCAAGGCATTTTCCAAAAAATGTGTCAACTACCCTGATTGGGGTAAACGATTTATCTGATACGCTAAGCCGCCTCAGACAAGCGGATAGTTTTATACATTCTTATTTAAACAGAGTCTTTACTGATAAAAATAAAGTTGTCACCAGTGGCGTAATAAGCACCCCCGCAGACCCCGCACCACGGAGAGGCCCAGACGGTAAGGGGGCCCAAGGGCCGGCTGTTGGCTGCCAGGGCCTCATTCGGGGTCAGCTTTAAAAGTTTAAACCAATAAATTAAAGAAATATTTCATTTTTCTTAAATCTAATTTAATCAAAAAAAAATAGAACTACACGTATTTTTTGTTTAAAATATTTATTTAATTCGTTGATTTTGAACATGCGCGAGAAATAAAATGCGGTTGTAGGATGATATTTAAGTAAGCGAAAGAGGGTTAGAGAAATAGAAAAGAAAAATAAATAAATTAATAACTTTTTTTTAAGTCCGTGTGAAAGTACGAGTGGAAGTGTAAGTGCGTTTGTAAGTGCAAGTTTAACTCCAGAACCCGAACTGCCTGCCAAATGCATAAAGTGTTAAAGACAATTGACAATTTTTCTGTAAGGGCAAGTACA